ATCCGACCCCGAGCACAGGGGTTGCGGGAGCGCGGCAAGACCTGGGTGACATTGCGCCGCTTACCGTGGTCTGACAGCAACGCTTGCTCGAAAACATCGCTGCAAGAGGAATCCAGGACAGAGCCGTACCGCTGGGACCAACCCTCCAGCTTAGCATAAGTGACAAGCTCTGCGGGCTCCCTGCCAAGGGTTGAGCTGCGCCGTGCCGTGCCGTGCCAGCCCGGCCAGGGCAGACTGGCACCCAGCTGGGCGGCGGGGAAAGCCGCAAGGCAGCGCGGAGGGACAGCGCCGCAGCCCCGGCTCCCAGCCGAGCGGAGCTGGAGAGAAAGGAGTGGCAGCCTGGACAAAAAAGGGCTTTTTACTGCCAAGAGCTTGCTCGCTGTGAGCCGACATCCGTTTTGGAGATGTTAGGCTGGTGCGCATCGGTCCTGGGTGGGAAGAAGCGAACAGGCTGTCTCTGGGCGCGTCCTGCCTCGGTTGGGTGCCTTGCTCTGGTGTAGCAGCGGGAGAAGAGTCTGCATCGTCCCCCTCCTCTCAGGCAGGTTGGGGCAGAGCAGGCAGGGGTACCCCAGAGCTACCTGGGCCGCCCCCGTGGCCAGAACAAGCCCGGTGGGGCCATCGGGGCCGTGCCAAGCCGCGATACTGTCATAGCGCAGTACGGTCTGGGGGCAGCATTAAGTTGTGACGCACTCGGTTGGAAACATGCAGTTGGGAGATGCTCGGTCGCTGCTTCCCGCGCTGTGGGGCTGTGCTGGGAGGGATAGAGGGGTCTGCTGTCCTGGGAGTAATAGTTGCCTGGGCAAGGAAGATTTTAAATATTTTAAAAGAGATTGGTGCAGCTTAGATGTTACTGAGTTGAAGGTATGGGGCTGGGATAGGCAGCTGTCCATTACTGACTGCAGCAGGGTGGAAGGTGATGCACAGGACACTGTCCCAGTGGCAGCCTATTCTACAGGGAAAAAAGTCTGTTCCCAAGTCACTCTGCTCTGTGCACACTGGAGCCCCTCTGCAGTGGAGGGGAGGAGGGACACACGGGATGTGCGCAGCAGGGGCTGGTGTGTGCCAGGTGATGAGTTGTTCTTGAGCATGGGTTGTGCGTGCTGTACAGGCAGTGATGGTGTAGGGGGGGCTGCCAAGGTGAATTGGTGACCCAACATAGGCACAGTTCCATCTAATGTCCAGCCCTGATCTGACCCTGCTGTTTGTATCTGCAGAGCTGGGGTGGTCTGTGTGCCTGGGGGACCTCACAGAGCTTTGTGGCTGGGTGTAGAGAAGATGTTTTGCTAAGGAAAAGTTGGGGAAAGCCAGCAATTGACCTCTCATATTGAAATGCTGCCATGCACAGAGAGAGGGAGAATGACTGCAGGGAGGGTGTTTGGTGGCTGTGAAGTCTGTCTTGAAGAATGTCATGCACCCGTGGATGGTCACAGGTCTGGCAAGAGGAAGGGGAGCCTTGACATGCACAGGGCATCTTGCTGTGCAGAGAGCTGAGCACTGTGTTGTTTAGCACAGGAACTAGCAGAGTGGAAAGGGGATGTGTCTGTAAGAGTTATGATGCATAAAAGAGACACTCCAGATAGGGTTAAACCCTTTATCCAGATACCTAAATTTCTGCATTAACCTTCATCTGTTACTTGAGTGCTGGGTTACAGCCCTCAGTACAATCCTGTACCACAGCTGTGTCCAGGCCAGCTTGTTACCCAGCTCCCCAAACCACCACTGAATCTTGCCTCTGGTCTGGTCTGAGCTGAGGAGTTGAAGGGGGCTGTCTTCTCCCTGCCCTGCTCACATAGGGCTGTCCCCAGCAGGGCTGGCACTATGGCTGGGCTGGAGCATCAGAGCCACCTGCCTCTTGCCCAGTGCAGCCCCTCACCTCTCCTTGAGACATTTGCTATAGCAGGACTCCGGGACATCCTCTCAGCCTGCTTTTTGGGAGTGAGGGCACCAAAGAAAGATGTTGTTGATTCAGTTAGAAATCCCACTGGGACAGTATATTCCTAGGTCTCTTCAGTATTGCGCATGTCTAGGGCAGAGCTGGCTGGCTGGCCTGGCATGCTGCAGCAGTGAGCTCATAACCCAACAATGGCAAAAAACCCCAACCATGCTTGGGGTCGTCCATAGTGGCATTTGGCCAGTGCCCAGCTTTCTCTTGGGTAACGCTTGCAAGCGCAGAGATACCAAAAGGTGCTGTCCGTTCGGCCCAGCAGGAATCAAACCACAGAGCAAAGAGAACCTGGAGAGAGGGACCTGCTGGTTTAGTGTCTCTGGTCTCTGCTGACATGGTTGTGAGTTAGGCTTCAGGAGCCTGCATATCCTGTGCTTCCCCAGCAGAAACAGTCTGTACACCAAAGAGCACAGAGTTCAGTGGACTGACGGGCAGTTGTTCTGGTACAGTACCAGAACAGCAGGGTGGGCATTGTGGCTGGAGTGCATCTTCTCAGCTAAGACCTGGGCTGAGTCCACCAGCTTTGTTCTGAGATCGGTGTTGGCTGGGGTTGGCGTTTAGCCAAGCAAAGTCTTGGCAGGATTTAAGTGTAGACATAAAGCTTTGCATTGTCCTCTCAATCCCCACAGTCTCCCTATTTGCTTCTCACTGTTTCCCTGCACAGGAGTGCTGAGCAAGCCCTGCTCCCTGACTCTGAGTTGGGGTACTTGGCAGCCCCTGCTGGACACGGGCTTGGTGGCATGCTGTCAGGGCTTGTAGCAGGGCAGCTGGAGCTTTTGAAAGCCGCAAGGCTGTTCAGCCTTTGAATTACTCGCCGACAGAGCCCAGGTTTTTGTAATGCAGTACTCTGCCAGGCTGTTATCCGGCAATGTGCCATCCAGAATTACTCCTCGAGCATCTTCTGGTATCACTTCATTCACTCTGCATTTAGCAGCAATCCTCCTGCAAGCCCTGCATGGGGCTGGGGTCCTCTCCAGTGTTGCACCTTACCCTGCCCTCCAAAATCCCAGCTCAGCTGGCTCACATCTCCCTTCCTTGGGGGCAGGGAGATGACACCTCTCTGTATTGCCACTGAGCCAGGTAGAAGCCAAACCATGTGTCCCATTCTGCCCACTCTTTCCAAGGTGCTTTTCTGCTGTTTTCAGTCCCCACTTCTTTGTGCTGTTTTTTTTAGTCTCCTTTTTGTGTCCGTTCGTTTTCAGCATTTTTCAGCTGCATCCGTGGCAGTGAGTAAGATCCCTTCCCTTCTGTTTCCCATGGTGACTCCTTATCATCTACATTGCTCTGAGATGCCTGCTTACCCCCCTGCTCCACTCCCAGGTTATGTTCTGCAATTTGTGTTCTGGATTGTGTTTTTCCCTCCAGGCTCTTCTTTAAGTCTCTCTTCTCCTCTTGCTACCAGCCCACTGATGGGTACCTCCTGCTCACAACTCAGCATCCTGCCCCTCCAGCACTGGGGCTGCGTGAATGGGGCTGGAGTCAAATTTTCTCTCAGGCTCTGAGGCCATAACCCCTCTATAGGCATCCTGCCTTCCCAGGAGACAACTGAACCCTAGTTTCTGCCTGCTAGACTAGGACAATCCCTTCCCTCCTCTGAGAAACAAACTGGTGCTATTGCCAGCATTTCCCCAGCAGGAAAGTGCAAGAGGAGCTGGGTTCCTGCTCCGTCCTGGCTGCTGTGCCTCTTGGGAGTGATGGATGTCCCTTCCCCAGACACCGCTGGGGCCTGTGTGCTGGCCAGCATTCCTAGGCTCCTACACGCCTCCAGTTGTACTTTCTCAGCCACCAGCAAGATCTCTCAGCAGCAGTCTCCGGCCCAGTGATGGATGTTGACAGCTGCATGAACAGCCTGTGCAAGACTCAATTATTTTCCTCCGAGGATGATGCCTTCCAGATCGTGCTCCAAAGCCCTCTGTGAGCACTGTGTTGAAACCCTCTCTGGAGCCTCCCTGATTGCAGAGCTGTGCTGAGCACTGCTGGCTTGCACCCAGCTTGGACCAAACAAACACTTGGGAGCAGGGCCCTGGAGCACCCTGCTGCAGGCAGGCTTGTCTTGCTCCTGTGCTGAAGTACGGGCATTGGGTCCTGCTTTGTTCAGCTTGGTGATGTTTGGGTCCCCAAGGAAGGAAAGGTGCTTGAGGGTGCTGGGGAGGGGTAGGGCCAGGCCACAGCCACTCCAAGCAGCAACAACCCACCCTACCTTGACCAGCCACAAGGTCCTCTGGGGGCCTCATGAATGACAGCATGCCAGGGTCTCTGCCAATGCCATGCTGAAGTCTGTCCCAAAGCTGAAGTGTGCTCCTGCGAGAGCAATGCATTGCTGGGGAGTGCTGGGTGCTGCCACGAGACCATCTCTGCTAGCCCAGGGCAGGTAGCTGACAGCAGCAGGGTTGCTGGCTATGGTCTGTTGTGTCATGAAGCTGCTGAGGGCCCTGGAGCAGACTGAGGTCCCACTGAGCGGCGTGAAGGCAAGCGCCATCAAAGTCCGTCCCAAAAGCTTGCTCTCCTTGGACTCAGGCCTCCTGAATGCTGTTGCTTTTACCAGCCTGGAACACATTGTAGTGGGGAAAAACAGCTTTCCCAAGCACTTGGAAATGTTTGATGTGCCTCACCATTATGCTGCTAATGCTGTGGCACTGTCACAGGGAGGTAGAGTGGAAGGGAAAGAAAGGAGAAAATGCCAGGCCCATCCCCAGCACCATGCCTGGGATGTGCTTGGGGTTGCAGGTCCCATGGTGCCCAGGAGAAGCAGTATCTACAGTGATGTCAGTAACCCTAAAACAAGGTCCACCAGCTAGTCCAGCCAGGACAGGGCTGGATCAGGACAAACTGACGGGGGATTACCTTAACCTCCAGTACCCTTGAGCCAGTCTGGTGCGCCTTCTTTGTTCCCTGGAGCAGCCCCCCGTCTTGGCACCACTCTCCTGCTGACCCCCCTGCTCTTCTCTCTGCAGGCACTGTACGGCTCCATCAAGAACGAGAAGCTGCAGTGGGCCATGTAAGTACCCCCACGGGAGGTGCTGCTGCCCGGCGCTGGGCAGGCAGTGAGGCCACCCAGCCCCAGAGGCCCCACGAGCCATGATGCTGCAGTGCAGGTGCCCCTGTGATGATTTGGGAAGGAGAGGGAGCTTGGGATGGACTGGGCTGGGGCTGCAGGCAGCGTACCCCTGGCTGCCCTCAACACCTTCCCCAGCATGCTGAGAGAAAGCCAGCTGAGGCCAGCTTCCTGCGGCTTTGGTGTGGATTTGCGTCTTGGTGGCCATGCCCGTGGTGGGAGTAGGCAGGCTCTGGGGGTGCTGTGGCTGTGCCGGGGCCCCACAGGGTGCCCGCACCCTCGCCCACAGCTGCCATCTCCAGCAGCAGAAGCGGCAGCGCCTGCGCTGCAGGGATTAATCAGCCCAGTGGTACCCAGCGCTGAGCGATGCACTCGGCCGCTGCCATGGAGACGCCGGCAGATGCTGAGGGGTTTAATTAGCAGCGAGCGGCTGAGGGAGGGGGGAGGCAGCAGCTCTGGGCTCCCACATCTTCGTGCAGGCTGGGGGGAGCAGCACCAGTGCAGCCTGCCCACAGTGAGGGGCCGTGGCCTGGTGGGAGAGAGCTGCCTACATACTGCCCACACCTGCTCCTGCCCTCAACTGGTACTGCCTGAGGCCTTCCCACCACAGTCTCCCTGCACCCCTTCACTTCTGGCTTGGGGCCCCATAGTCTGGCTGCCACCCTGAAGGTGTGGGGACCACAGCCTGAGTCTCTCTTTGTGGGTGAGTTCCATTCTAAACCCTTCTTCCGACCAGCACCATGGCCTGGGGAGCCCTGGTAATGCCAAACCCTGGGGTGCTGCTCCTCCATGGCTCCTGGCTTATCAGCCTGGCTGGTGTCAGTCCCATCCCTGGCCAAAAAAAGGGCTCCTCATTCCCTGGGGTAGGCAGGTGCCCCACCCTGATTTGGCAGCAGACACCGCAATGCCCTGTCTTTTGAGGGGCCAGGCATCACCTCAGCTGCCTAGAGGGACAGGGGCACATGGGCATGGCTGGGTTTGGGGTGCTCACCAGTGGTGGTGGGAGACTGCTCATCCTGGCCTGCTTCTCCTGGCTTCCCTTTCAGAAGCCAGGTCTAAAAGTTGGAACAGCCAGTGGGGAACTTGGTATTTGCTGTCCCCAGCAAAGTAACAAACTCTTTCCCCACCCAAATTTGTGATTGTCAGAGATGAGGAGGAGCTGAGAAAGTCCCTCTCGGAACTGGCAGACCCCAACCCAAAATCCATCAAGCGCATCAGCAGCTGCAGTAACCCCTTTCTGGACTTCTCCCAGGACTCCAGCATTGCCACCTACAAGCACGGGCTGTTAGTCCGCAAGATCCATGCTGATCCTGACTGCAAGAAAAGTAGGTGCCGGGGAGCCCATGGGAGGCACTTGGGGCAAGAGGGCACCAGTGAGCTCCAGAAACTAAACAGAGCTAAGCAGGGCAGGAGTCACTGTATGATGTCTAATGGTAGCAGGTAGCATCATGCCAGGCTTCAGCATCAGCCCCCTGTGTCCTCTCTGTCTGTATGTGCCAGGCATAATTCAGCCCTCAGGCTGGGGAGCTGGAAAGCTTCTCCCTGCCCATTTGCCCCCACCATCAGGGCCAGGCAGAGGCCAAGCAGGCGGGCAGAGCAGCCCCTGCCCACAGCACTGGGAAAAGCTCAGGCAGGGAGGTGGGCTGGGGTGGGATTCCAGAGGGCTGCATCCCTGCCACAGGATTGCAGGGATGGAGGAAGGTGTCCTGTGCTGTGATAAACAAGACACGCAGTAGGCTGCTGCTGGTTGGGCACTGCCAGGCATGTTCACCGTATTCCCAATAAAATCCCCTCTAAGCCCTGGCCATCTAATGCCGCCTAGATCTGATTAGATGCAGCCGCCCTCCAAAGCCAGCATTACCTGGCAGGCAGCACCGCCTCGTCCCCCGCCCTAGCGGGGAGGCAGTGGTGCATCCCAGCACAAGCAGCGAGGCGGGAGCGCGGCGGGCTGGCCCCGGGAGGCGGCAGGGGCCCCCTGCCAGCAGCACCATCTGCCAGCCACGCGGCCGGCACGGGCTCAGGTGCGCGGGGACAGGCCTGGCGTGCTGCCCGTCCCGGGGGCGGGGGGACGTGCGTCGTGGCAGAGCTGGCTGGAGGAGGATGGGGGTTGCCTTCCCCCCACTAAATGCTGAGGATGATGTCTGAGCTGCTCTCTCCTCCCTGGCAGCACCCCGAGGGAAGCGAGGCTGGAAGCCCTTCCATGCCATCCTGAAGGGGATGATTCTCTACCTGCAGAAGGTAGGCAGCAGCAGAGCCACCTGTGTCTGCACCAGGGAGAGGGATTGTCTCCAGCCCAGGGGTGGGGCATGGCAGTCTCCACAGCTGTGAGAGGGGCTCCAGCAAACAGCATGGCCTAAGCAAACTCGGCACCATGCATGCTTGAGCCATTGCTTGGGGATCTGGTGGCAACCCTGTTCCCAGGGTGGCTCAGCCTGAGCAGTGAAAGTGGCTGCTGACTGAGAGCCCTGCATGCAGGGGGCTTGGCTGGGGAGACAGGGGGCAGTGGGGTCTTTGCCCACTTGCTCCTGGGTGGGGGGTTGGGCTGGACATCCAGTTCCCTGCAGGCATACATGCTGCCCAGCTGTGGGCAGTAGGGAACAGCCCCTGTGTTATTGCCAAGCCAATGCACCCAGGTTGTGCAACCTCTCCCCAGGGGGGTAGGATGAGTTGGAAGCAGAGCCCGCAGCTGGCTGGTGGAGGGTGGTCTCTAAGACCTGCCACTGCCAGTGCTAATCTGCAGTACCTGAAACCCCACAGAGCTGACTCATGGTGGGCTGCATCCCTGAGCTGGCTCTGAAACTCCCCATGATTTGCAGGAGGAGTATAAGCCAGGGAAGGCGCTGGCAGAAGAGGAGCTGAAGAATGCTATTAGCATCCACCATTCGCTTGCCACGCGGGCGTCTGACTACAGCAAGCGACCCAATGTCTTCTACCTCAGGACAGCTGACTGGAGAGTCTTCCTCTTCCAAGCACAGTGAGTCCCTCAGGATCACTGGCTGGGCCCCACGCTGGGACACAAGGGCTCGTCTGACTGGGGGGTAGGGTGGGATGGGGCTTAGGGCCACATTGCTCTCTCCTGTCTTGGCCCTTTCTGGAAGGAAAGGGACCCGGTGTCAGTGCTGAGCTTTGCTCAGCTTCTCTTCTTCTTACCCTGCTGGGCACAGGATTGCTGGGGGCAGAGTCCCGGGTGCCACGGCTGGCCAGGGCCAGGTCTCGGGGACTTGGATCTTGTCTGCAGGGCAGATCTCTCTGTCTTTGGCACAGACAGCCCATCTGTGGTATGGCTTTTTTCCTTAGGAACCCGGAACAGATGCACTCGTGGATCACACGCATCAATGTGGTGGCAGCCATGTTCTCTGCACCCCCTTTCCCTGCAGCCATCGGCTCCCAGAAGAAGTTCAGCCGCCCACTGCTACCCAGCTCGTGCACCAGGCTGTCCCAGGTGGGCCATGGTGTGGGGGCAACCGTGAGCATGGGACAAACCCCCTGGGTCTCCCAGTGGCACTTTCCCCTGTGGAGGGACTTGTGTGGTGCCATGCTCCCCACTGCCTCCCAGTGAGGTGCAGGGCCGAGGGATTCACAGAGCAAAGGGGTACTGAGGTTGTGGGCAGACAGTGAGGTCTTGTTCCCGGCAGTGGGGACCGGAGTCAAGCAATAGTTAGACCATGGAAGAGAACATGGTCCCACACCACAACCTGCAGGGTCCTGCCAGGGACCTTGAAAGGCAACTGGCTGGGGGGATTAGCTGGCACTCGTGCATGCCAGGGCAGATATTCATAGAGCAGAAAGGATTTAAAAAAACCACCAGCCTAGTTTTAGAGGGATTAAATTCTTCTGCTTTAAGACTGCAGTCAGCCCCTCCACAAGGTGAGAGCAGACAGCCCCCAAGGGCCTATGATTTTGCCTGCCATTTAGAAAAAAAAAATCAAACCCAGGAAAGGCAGCTGAGATCTTGGCTGGACCTATAAGGGGAAAAACCTATTCTGTCCCTGGCCAGCTCACACTACGAGGGGGATAGACCAAGGCACTGACATGGTGTCACCCTTCCCCAGGAGGAGCAGGTGAAGAACCACGAGACCAAGTTCAAGACAATGTCAGCAGAGCTGCTGGAGCATCGCTCCTCACTGCCTGAGAAGAAGGTGAAGGGCAAGGAGTATGAGGAGCTAAAGCAGAAGGAAGAGTACCTGGAGTTTGAGGTGAGCTGGGAGATACCCCCCTCTACCCTCAGGCCCTCTGCCCCTGCCTGCTTGACTGTTCTGAGCGATGGGTCCAACCCATCCCTGTCAGATGAATTGCACTGTGTCATTGCCACGGTCACAAGCATTCCCCTGCCCTGGGATGCTGGCTGGGATGGGTGGGGCCACGAGCACCCCCTGACATGGGGATGCTGTGCAGGGGACAGTAACCAGCTTGCCAACCTCTCTCTCTGCTGCACTGTGCCCTCCAGAAATCCCGCTATGGCACCTATGCCATGCTGCTGCGGGCCAAGCTGAAGGCTGGCTCCGAGGACCTGGCAGCATTTGAGTCCACCCTGTTTGACACAGCGGGTGGGGAGGATGATGGCCTGAAAAAGTCCCGCTCCAGCCCCTCGCTCAACGCAGAGCCCTCCAGCACGGCCACCAAGGTGAAGCGCAATGTCTCAGAGCGCACTGGCCGCCCCAGCCACCCCCAGAAGTCCTAAGGGAGGGGCATCAGCCGCCTGCGCTGCAGCTCCATTCCTGCCCCCCCAGCAGGGGGGTGGGGGCCGTGTGCCCGCCGAGACCCTGCATGTGTCCGTCTGTTTGCGGCACAAGCTAGAGGGCGTGACAGCCCTTCTGCAGCCGCCAGCACCAGCCATGCAGGGCCACGGCCCGTCCACCGGAGATGATGGCAGAGCAGGACAGTCCCTGGTCCTTGCCTGCAGGAGCTGCCCGCACCATCGGCCCCATCAGACTTGTTCCTGCCCCTCCTTGTCCTGCATTTGGCTGCAGGACCTACTCTTCTGCCCCGGGAAAGGGGAACAACTGAAACCCACCTGCTGGCCTCAATTCTTCAATGGTTTTAAAAAAAAAAAAAAGACAAAATTGCAGCAAAACAAAGCCAGCGGCTGCTTCTTCTCCAGCTCCGTCGTGCCATGGGGGTAGATAGGAGGGGGCCAGTCCTAACCTGTCCCCTCTTCTGGGGCTGGTGGCCAGGGAAACCAGGGCAATGGCACCTGGTCCCCTCCCTGCCACCTCAGTCACCTCTGCACCCTCCCCGCTTTCTTACAACTTTTGAACAGTTTTTGTGATACAGTTTTGCACTTTTTAGTACCAGATCGAGCTGACCACCAGGGAGGTTTTTTTGGGGCTACTTTTGATGCTTTTTGAGAACTGTTTAAAAAAAAAACAAACAAACAGAAACTCAGCCATTTCCTGTAGGCACTGCATTCTGGGGAAAAGAGGCTTTTACAAGGACCTGGAGCAATCCAGCTCCTCCCTGCCCTGCAGCAAGCTGAGCATGGGCTCCTGTGTGTGCTGCTGCTGCCTGCTTCCCCAGCTCCACTTTGGCACCAGCAACCCTTTGGGGAAACAGCCTTGTGGCTGCCAGCAACAAGGAGGCAGCCTTGGGATGGCAGCACCCATTGCTGCACTTGTGGCTGAATGGGATGCTGATGGGCCGGTGCTTCATGAACCCCATTCCCCCTTGGCAGCCTGGACAGGCCCTGTTTGCCATCTGGGAGTGATCATTGTCCTTGGGGCATGTTGGGCAGCAGTGTATAAGTACTCCCAGTGGGGCAGTGACCCCTGGAGCCAGGGCTGACATGTGGGTCCCCACTGCCCTATGGGTCTGGCACAGGCTGGAGCCAGCTTTCCTTCCCTCACCTCTTCTCCAATGCATGGCCAGGGCCTCAGAGGCTGCCAGGAAAGCCTGGTCTGCAGCACTGCAAGGTCCTCAGGCTGCAGCAGCAGTGATGCAGCCCCTTCCTCAGCCATGGGCTCCCTCCTTGCCAAGGAGTGGGGCAGGCTGGGGTGGCCTCCACCACTCCAGGGTGGGCTGAAGGATGCTTGTCCAGAGCAAGGTGCAGGTGATGGAGCATGGCTTCAGGATTGTCCAGAAAGGGGTCGGGGGACAGCAGAAGGGCTGTGAGCAGGGGCACACACGCAGTTCTCGGCTGCCTGGGACCTGGCTGGTTTCAGCACTGACTTTGCGAATGTGTCAAACTTTTTATTCTGCTCTTTTGAGTCTATTGCAAAAACAAAACAAAACAAAACAAAACAAACAAAAAAAAAAAAAGAAAAAAAAAGAAAAAAAATCCACCCTTGCCCCAGGTGGCTCAGGGGGGGAAAAAACCTTTGTACAGCTTCTCTCGGTTACTGAAGTAAAACTCGCTCTTCACTTCTTGTGTGTGCTGTGGTTTCTTCCCCACAGTTGGGAATAGCCCTGGCACAGAGGGATGCTGAGAAGGGGCTGGCAGCTGTCTCCTTGCTGCCAGACTCCCAGACTGAGGCAGAGTTCAGCAGGGTTAGTGCCCACTGACTCACGGCTGGGGCTGGAGAGAGGGAGGGCAAAGGCTAATGGAAACTGTGTATTTTTATTTTGAAGAGGGACCATTAAATAAGAGCAGAAAGGGGCAGGAGCCAGCTGCATCCCATCCCCCTCAGTCCATGCAGCCGGGACCCCAAGTCCAGAAGGCACTTGTGTGGGCAAGGCAGAGGGCAGTGTGTGGGCACAGGGGCTACTGGTTCCTCAGTGCACCTGTGGCTGCTGGTTGGGGGGAAGCTCACCCCCCGGCTTCAAGGCCAACGTGGGCTTCTGCTCCTCCTCCACCGACTCACTGCCGTAGGCACTGTCTTCCTTCAGCTCTGCAAAAGAATTCCCAGGTGCTCTTAGCGATGGGGCATCAGGGGGGCAGCAGAGACACCCTCTGCCCGCCCAGCCCATGCTCTCTGTACCTGTGCTTTGCAGCTTCTCCAGTGCCTCAGTTTTGTGGAGCATCCTCACGGCGTTGTGGAGCCCCATAGAGTCCAATGCCTCCAGCAGTCCCCCCAGGCTGCCGCCTGCCAGCTGTGGAGAGAGGGCTCTGAGTGGGGCCAGTGGCTGGGCAGGCAGGCGGGACAGGGGCACCTCAGCCAGGCACTGACCTCGTAACTGCGCAGGAGGCTGACACTGGGCGAGGGGGTGTCCTTGTAGGTCTCCACGAGGCTGCAGAGCCCCAGGCGCTTGGCCAGCTCGATCCAGTCTGACCCACTGCAGTCCTGGTTCAGCAGCTGCTCCAGCCCCTGCAGTGCCTCACTGTCCAGTGACAGGACCTTCCCTGCACAGGAGAGGTGCCTCCATCTCATGCTACCCATCCTTGCCCCCAGGAGGGTGCTGCCCTGCCTGTGTGAGGTGCTTTCAGGAGGAAAAGGGCTACTCACCTGGCTGGGGAGCGGTAGGCAGCTCCGCCTTGGGCCCCTGCTGGGAGGCCTGCAGCAGTATCTCCCGTACCTGCAGACAGACACTGAGATGTCAGCATCCCATAAAGCACTGCCCAGATCCCCCATCACCTCCTCACGCTATGGATCTCCCCAGGACATGGAGGGGCACCAGCATCCTCACAGGAGCATTTCCTGGAGCTCTGCCCCATCCATGCCATGGCCCACACAGAAATGCTCCCTGGGAGTTTGTCCCATGGCGTCACACACCTTCTGGCTCCGAGTCAGGTCCAGGGATGTGTGGCAGCGGCGCTGCCTGTGCCCTGCCTGCCAGTGCCCCTGTGTGGGGAGCTTGGGGTTGGTGCTGTGCTCTGCAGCCAGGACTGGCTCCCCCAGCTCCATGGCCAGCTCCTGCTCCTCGGGGTCAGTGTCCGTGTCGCTGCTGGCCTCCGATGAGGATAGGCTCATGGGCTCGTCATTCTCACACAGAACATCTGCCCCTGTTAGGGAAGGGTGGAATGAGCCCCCAGAAGGGAAGGTGGGCCTAGGGGTCTGCCCTGTGCCTGGCACGCCTCAGCACAGGCAGCCAGGGCTATGGAGAGGGAAGGGAAAAGAGAAAGGGCAGTGCCTTACCAGCTTTGAGGAGCAGTTTGGTGAGGGTAGGGGAGCCCAGGCCAGCAGCCAGGTGCAGGGGGGTGTTCCCAGCAAAAGTCCGGCTGTTGACATCTGCTCCCAGCTAACAAGAAAGGTGAGAGGCCATGATGATGGGCTGCCTAGGCACTTCTTCTCCTACATTCTGTTACCTGAAGACCTCAGGGGAGCCCCCACTTCTGCCAGGGCCCTGTAGGAGCTGCACCCCATCCCTGTCCCACAGCCACCACCACACCAGCCGCCCCACACCTTTTTCACCAGGTGGGTAGCCATGTTCAGGTTCTCCATCTCCACAGCCAGGTGCAGTGGGGTCCTCCCGCTTTGCCTCTCCGCTGCATTCACGTCTGCTCCCGTCCTGACCAGCAGGTCCAGGCAGGCCAAACTCTTTGCCTTCACAGCCAAGTGCACAGGCAGGAGGCCTGAAAGATGGGGAGAGACTCAGAAGCCTTCTTGCAAAGCCCATGACGGCACCGATGGTGCTGCTCATCATCCTTCAACCCCACTCACCATGGAAATTGGGCAGGCGGAGCAGGTAAGGGGCAGCCGAGCCCAGGTGGGCCAGCAGTGTCTTCAGCATCTCTTCATCGCCAGCCTGGAGCGCCAGGTGCAGCAGGGAATTGCCGTAGCGGTCCAGCAAGGTTGGGTCAGCGCGGGCTTGCAGCAGGAGCTGGACCACTTGGGGCTGCTTGGTGATGACTGCCAGATGCAGCGGCGTCTGCAGGACAGCAGCACACCCTCAGCAGCGCTCACAAGAGGAGCCAAGTCCTGCACCATCGTTCTCTCCAGTGTGGCTGCACCTTGCTCAGATCTGCAGCCTCCCCTCAGCAAGAGCAGCAACAGGAGCCTCCAGGGTTGGGAAACAGGAGTGAGGAACTGCTCCCAGGCAGAGGAGAACTGGCTGCTCTGCAAAACGTACCTGTTGCAGGTTATTAGAGATGTTGATGATCTGCTGGCTGGGGATGCTAACGATGACCTCGATCAGCTGCTTGATCACAGCTGTCTGCTCATGGATAATAGCGAGGTGCAAAGGCCTGAAAAGAGAGTGGAGTGGTCCCTAGCTCAGCTCCATGCTTCTCCAGGTACTCCCTGCCACACCCAGAGCCCCCATAATGGCTCTAACGCCCAACAAGGCCCCCACACTCTCCCTCCAAATCCCTTGTGTGCTCACGTGTCTCCATTCTCGTCCTGTGATGCGGCCAGGTGCCTCTGGACTGCCAGCAGCATACGGGGGTCGGCAGTGACCGAGTAGTCGAGCAGGGCATGGGCATTGCGACGGGCTAGTGCCAGCATCCAGAGCTGGTACAGCTGGGCTGGGGGGCAAAGCAGGATGTCACCTCCAGGAGCAGCAGCCCCATTCATCCACCCTCCTGTATCCCCCAGGAGTGGAGAGCAGCACCCCAAAAGGCCCCCAACCCATGCCTCCTCTCCTTAGTGATGTCCCCCCGTCCCCCCTCAAGCTCAGCCCCTCCTACCATGCTTCTGCAGCTCCTTGCAGTACGTGCTCTCTGTGGGTGCCTGCCTGTTGCTCCCGGGCCCCTCTGCCTCGGGGCCCTTCATCTGCACACCCCCCTGGTAGCTCCCCACAGGGTGGGGTCCAGGTGAGTAGATGCTGTTGTAGGGCAGCCCAGGAGAGTAGGGGAAGCTGAGGTTGCCACCTGCAGAGCAAGCAGGAGGACAAGTGAGCAGAGGGGAGCAGCAAGCCCCAAGGGTCAGGCCTTAGCCACCCAGGCAGGGAGGGGGAAAAGGCATCCCCACTCACCTCCTCCAGAGCCAAAGCCTCCGGCACCCCCGCCAGCACCCCCCATGTGTGAGCCCCCACCAAAGTGCTGGGGAAACTGAGGCAGGACTTTCTTGCGCTTCCTCTCCACTTCTTCCTTGTCTGCAGGGAAAGAGGGGCAGCGAGGTGAGGGGCAGACCCGGTGGCAGGAGACATGCTAGCATGCCTGGGGGGTGCTCACCTTCCACCACTGGGTAGTAGGTGAACTGCTTGGAGTCGCTCACGTCTCCTCCCCGTTTCCGCTTCAGCTGCAGGAAGACGGTGACAGGACGGTCGATCTTGGGCTTGTGGTAGGGGGGTGTGCGGAAGACAATGGCATACTGTGGGCAGGACACATGGATATGAGGTCCTGCTCATCCTTGGAGCTGGGGACAGGGCACCTGTACCCCACAGGGCACCTGTCTACCTTGGAGCACAGCAGGACACTCCCTGTCTCCCCTGTACCTGTTTGTGCACATCTGTGGGAGAAAAGTCCCCAAAAGCCTGCCAGCCGTTCTCGTCATCCTCGTAGAAACGCACCTCGATGTCATCTGGGGAGAGAAGGGAGCTGGCAGCGCCTGTCTCCTTGCACCAGTCAGGCTCCAGGAACACAGACCCCTGGCCACCCAGGGGCCCCAGATCTCTCCTGCCACAGCCCCTCCAGAAGGTTTCGGCTGGAGGCAATGGCTTTTACCTTTCTGAACTTTATCACACAGCAAGTAGACTTCGTCCCCTCCCCGCACGGAGCCTGCTGTCTTATCCATTCGTGAGATCTTCAGGTTGGAAGCTCCTGGGGACTCTGCAGAGCAAGAGGAGGTGTTCAGAGCCACTGTGCAGACAGAGCATCCCTCACCTCCTTACCTCGCCCTGCCCCGTACCCTCCCCAGGCTGGCCCCATGCTCACTGCTGTCGTGGATGGGGTCTGAGATGACGGGCTGGAGGGCCAGCGTGAAGTTCCCGCTGCTGTCACGGAGGTAGGCGGTGAAGCGCAACCGCACGATGCTCAGGTCCATCACCTTCTTCAGCTCCTTCGCCTCCAGCTCGATCTCACGCAGCTCCGCTTCTGCCAGGGCAGGGCGAGATACCGTCAGGCTGGGTGGGGGGATGGTGCTCCAGGTCCTCCCACCCACACACTCCAGCCCCATGCTAACTCCAGCCCCCCTGCTGTCACCCTGTGGGGCCGAGTTCTGCTGAGTCCCCAGGCTGCCCTCACCCGTCAGCAGATGGCTCCTGTTACGCATCTTCTGCTGCTTCAGCTTTTCCTTCATGATCTCCATCATATTCTTCTTGGTGACATGGAGCACACCCAGGTTGCTGAACCTGAAGAAGAGGGAACCCTCTGGGAACTCGGAGTGTCAGGGCTGGGAGCAGCCAGCCCAAAGGGGTAGTCTCCTGCAGCTGGGAAGGAGCTGAGCAAAGCACAGAGCAGTGCCACTCTGACAGCAGTGAGTCAACATGTGTGGGACAGAAGAGGAGCAACCACAGAGGACAGGAAAGGAGCCAGGAAACTCTGGGCTCCACAGGTGACAAGTCCAAAGGGCTGTCAAAGACAAGACCAGAGGGACTGAAAGCCAGAGGAATGGAAACAGGACCAAGCTGAGCCAGGGCTGGACATATAAGAGCAACTGCAGTGGTTGCTGAATAACCCCATGATTCAGGCTGGCTTCAAAAGTCATCTGCAAAGCTGGGGAGCTGCAGCCAAGGACAGAAGCCCAAAATAAGGTGCATGTGCCAAAACCTAGATCTAGGTAAAATGCTCAGGGAACAGAGCTGTAACAATGAACTTGTCTAAACACACTCCTGGCCCCATCCAGCAAACCCAGCTCCAGCGTGCACTAACTCCCACCTGTCCCCATCTCGTAAGCTGCAGGCAGCACCCACAGCCACCTCACAAAGGCAAGAGGCCACCCTGGGTCCTCTCACACATACTGAGCTGTCATGTCCTTGGGTCCCACGATCGTGACACAGTTGCCAGCCTCGTTGCACTGCTTGCCCACCAGGCTGTGGGCATGTACACGAGGAGGGTCACTGTGCGTCACCAGGTCTACCTCGATCCGAGCCATCCCTGTGTAGTTGCAGATCTGCAGGGAGAAAGGAGATAGGTACAATATACCAGGAGTTTGCAGGACTCTCCACAAATCCCCTCCCCATAGCCACCACTCCTCTTGCCACAGCCCTCTCATCCCTCCAGTGCTGTGAGACACACGGAGCTAATTATAAATTTCCTGTCCTTCCTTCAAGGCTCCCTCCTGGTGCTCGTGCACTGCTGGCTGAAGATGCTGTTCCATCCCCTCCCCAGGGCAGCGCTCACCTTGACTGTGGGATAGGTCTTGCGTCCCTTCTCACTGGATGCTCCTGGCAGCCCCCCATGTGAAGGGCCCTCACAGCCGTACCGAAACCGGAAACCCCGCTGCGGAGGCAAAGAGAGGGTCAGCCAAGGGGGGCCAAAACCTGATGCCATGAGAGCAGGGGGTGACAGTTACACCCTGGGTGACATCCTTACCTGCTTTGGCTGCTCAATAATGACGAGGTAGGGACCTTCTACTGGAGAACAGAAAGGAGATGTACCGGTGAGAAACATGGGATAACCAAAGTGCATGTTTCCCGCAAGGATGCTGGAGGTATGGGGACAGTACTGAAAGCGGGGTGACCCCTGTCTGTCCCATGAGGGTACTGAAGGCCCCCAGCCCCTCTGCTGTCATATCGCAGCTGGGAGCAGCAGTCAGAGCAGCAGGGAGAGGAGGGGAAGGCCAGAGGATGCCCTGTCACATGGGGAGCAGGGGCCACGGGGAGGTCACAGCTTAAGCTGGTAGTCCCTGGTAGACTGAGCAGCAGGGCCCATCCTGGTGGCACGGGACAGGGATTCCCAGCCAGCTCACAGTGGGTCCAGTAAGGATACAGCCTGTGGTGCTGCTGGGAACTAAGAGGTGTGAGTCAGCCTGCAGGGAAAACCCATTGCAGCTGGGGACCCCTGGAAGGGCACAGCCAGAGGGGCCCTTACCCGTCTCAATCAGGGGCTCCTTCTGCTCCATCATGTGGGAACCAAAACTGAAGTCATCGTAGACAATCCCATCCAGGCACTGGGTGATGGGAGGGAAGATTCAGTGTGATGAGTGTGGGGAATCCCCAGCCGCTCTGGAGAGTTGGCACAGACCCCCATCTCCCACCTTGGGCAGGTGATGGCAGTCTGGCACAGACCCCCATCAGGGCAGGAACAGATCCCCTGTCCCTCCCTGGGAAGAGGGGTGGGCAGGAGCAGACCCCTCATTGCCCATCCCTGGGGGCACCAGCAGATCCCCTTTACCCACCCTGGAGGCTGACACAGACCTCCCATCTCCTACCCCAGAGGCAGGCACAGACCCTTCCACCTCCCACCCCAGAGGCAGGCACAGATCCCCACCTCCCACCCCACCCGTGGGGTCGGGCACTGCTCCCTGCCCAGCTACGGGACCGGGATCAGGCAGCGACACCCCCCTGGGCCGACCCGATTCGATCCGTGCCGCACTCACGCGGGCTGGAACTGCTCGTCCATGTCGGCGCGGGCCGGCCCGCCGGCCTGCGTGGGAAGAGGGGGTTTGTTGAGCGGGTACCGGGGCTCAGGAAGGCACCGCCCCGCTCCGGAAAGTCCCTAGAAAAACCCCGCCCGAGGCCGCGGAAATGACGGGCCGCGCGTCACCGCCCCCGCCCCGCGGGCCGCGACACGCCGGGCACCGGCCCGGGCACGGGGCACGGGGCACAGGGCAGGGGACACGGGGCACAGGGCAGGGGACACGGGGCACGGCCCTTGGCACGGGACCACGGGACACAGGGCACCCGGGGACACGGTGCACGGGGCACAGGGCAGGGGACACGGGGCACGCGGGCACGCGGGCACAGGGCAGGGGGACACGGGGCAGGGGACACGGGCACCCCGGGGCACGGGTTGCACGCGGCACAGGGCAGGGACACGGGCTCGGCCGTGGCTCGCACGGCCCTGCACGGCCCGCCTGCACGGCTCGGGAGCGCGGCCGACCCTCCTGCCGCCCGCCGAGCGGCCGCCCGGGGCAGTGGGACGAGCCGTCCCTCGCCGCCTGGGATTGTGCGACGTCGGGACCCCGGGCGGGCTGGAAAATCCTCGGGAGGCACGCCCGCCCGCCTCCCCCGGCCATCCTCGCCCGGCGCCTCCCTTGCAGCCCCGGAGCGCCACATGTCCCGAGTTTTCCCCCGGGAGCACGGAGGGATTTGGCCCTGCCGTCCCCGGCCGCCTGCCCCGCTACAGGCGCCGGTCCCCGCCGCGCAGCCATCGGCCCTTCCCCGGCAAGACTTGCAGTACAACACGGCTGAAACCACTCGCCCGCACCACAAAGCCCGGCAACAGCTCCTGGGTCCCCCAAGGTCCCAACACCACAACATCCCACCCCGATGATGTGCCTCCGGCCCAGGGATGTCTCCTCCAAGACCCTCTGAACTCAAACAGGAGCAGCCGTCCCAAAGCACTGCCCCCAAGCTTGCTGGTCTCCCCCTGGCCAGGGGAAGCTCTCCAGAACTCTGCAGACCGAAGCCAGCACATGGCAGTCCCCTTCCAGGCACTCAAAGGGGTGCTTTCCCTCTCCCCCAGTTTCCACTTACACGGCAGCTCCTGCATCCATCCCGCGGAGGTGGCCTGTGAGAGGCATTCGCTATCCGTGTTCCCATTCCCTCCTTCCCGCTTGGGAACATCTGCCTTCAAAGTGGAAGCGGCAGCCCCAGAGCTCCCTGTGGGAGCATATCCCACCGCCCCAGCACTCAGCACTGCATGCTCCCCGCCGACCCCAAGGCACTGCCAGCAGCAGGGGCCCTTCCTTGCCGCCCAGGACACTTGCACCCTCCTACTCACCGGGGAGGAAGAGGCTGGTCTCAACAACCCGTCCAGCCCCAGCATCGCCACAGGGACTGCGAGTACCACAGACAGGGGTTCCACTGGTGTCAAGGTCTGCCTGACCACGGAAAACCACCGGTGACTTCTAGCAAAGGGGCAGGATCAGAGCAGAGCCTCCGAGCACGCTCTCTTGCTCCACATTTCTTCTCACTAACCAATGAAAAGAAGAAAAAAGGCAAAAAAGCCCCTGTATCTGACTCCACGGTGCCCTCATACCATGAATTTCTGAATCAGTGGTTGCTGCAGGTCCCGCTCAGGGGATTTTGGGTGTGTGGGAGAAGAGGGGAAGGAAGGGGATTGTTCAACTCATGTGTGACTCATATTCTTCAGAAGCTGAACAGAATCTTTTCAAGGAGATTTTTCAGCCACTCAAGTCCTCCAAAGGGGCTGTCCTGTGACCCCAGGCCTGAGGTTTCCCCTGGCTGGCCTGCCACCTGAGCCCTGATGAGGTCCTGCAGCCCCTGCCCTGCCAGCCCGTGGGATGCATCCCAGACAGCAATGCAGCCAATGGAGTCTGAGGACCTGCAGGTGCAGCAGAGGGTGCAAGGAGGGAGAAGGTAGAGATCTAGCACTGCAAAATGAGGCGGGACCTTCCTCCTGCCATTCTGCAGGAGCTTCAGAAGGCCTAGGAACATGGACACAAACCCCCACTGGTCTGTGGGAAGCAGCACACCCTCCCTGCTGTTGGGATCCCACCCATCATACCTCCTGGGCAGCTTCAGCCTGCCACCACCAGCCAGCCACCCCATCTACTGGCACAGATTTTACAGAGAGGTGGAGAAAGGGACAAACATCCTTCCTCAGTGTGCTGGGAACAGCCACCTCGAACTCTACCTGCTGAGCCCAGCTGGGGGAACCCAGGCCTGAAGATGCTGGATAAGAACAAATTGTGCCCTTTGGATAGCACAGCTCCCCTTCTCCAGTGCCATCAGCCTCATCCCCTCTTGAGGGGTTTTCACAGCGCACTCATTGCTGCCCAGGATACTTCCACTTGTTGCAGCAGACAGCATGACTGGGATGTCACAGAGTTGTGCCTGCATCTCCCCAGCCTGCACAGCTCTGGCTCTCTCGGGAGGTTGCTGGCCATATCCCTGCACAGTGTGTGCTGGAGGAAGCTCACCTTGCAGCAGAGATGGTGTCATCACCTGCTTCTTTGTTCCTGGAAAAGCAACCTCAGACCTACTCTCAAGGTAAGTCCTGCCTTCTGTGCCAAGCAGCCATGCCAGGACTCGGGGTTTCCCCTAGGAATGTAGCACACCCAGCTTTTATCCCCCACACATCCCAGAAGGGAACCCATCTCTCCTTCCTCCATCAGTACCATCCCCTGGTCTGTGTTACCCAGCACATCTGAGCTGGAGCAGGATCTTGAACTGCAGCCCCCATTTGCTAATTCCTCCCCATCTTCACACCTTCCTAGGCTCAGGAAGGATTCTCTGGGCATTGCTGGGAATGGGGGAAAAGAGCAGCAACCCAGACACGAGGCACTGCGAGGCACAGCACCAGTGCCTGGCCCCGGAGCACAGCAGTGCCACAGCACCCTTGCCAGACGGCACAGCCTCCCTTGTGCCAGCCAGACTGCTTCAATTAAGGGCCAGCTGCTGGCAAGCAGCGTGAGTTAAAGCCATTCTTCCATGCCTGCAGCTCCTTGAACGTGACCTAGTAACGCAGGTGCTATTTTCTTTCCTCCCATGACAGTCGGCTGACTCGCAGAGCTGATGCCCCGCAGGCAGGAGGGAAATATACGTCAGTCTATCTGAGGGGAGAGTGTTTAGTAGCCATGGGAAAGAGTGCTCCAGAAATGCAGGAGGCAGCACGAGTGCAGCCCTGCTCCAAACTGTCCTAGTGTACAGCTGACATGTTCCAGCCACCCAGCTGGCTACTCCTCTAACATACGATTCCCCGTGCATTTTGTTTCCCTTGGGGTCTGCTAACACCTGAAAAAGATGGCCCTAAATACCTGGCCTTGCTTTCTGCACAAATCCTGTGCTCTGCTCCATCCTAGGTGTCCCAACAGCTACTGTCAAGGGGCTGGCAGGAGGCTGCTGAGTCTCTGCTACTGTTTACAAGGACTTTGCTCTGAGACCCTTCCTGGAAATGAGGTCCTTAATGTGCAAGCACAGCAGAGAGAAATCCCCTCTCCCTGAAAGCTGTCCAAGCCTTCTCCTCCCAACAGCCTGCCTTCGAGCACTGAAGCCATTTGTATCTTTCTGCATAAAACGCCTTTACTCTCTTTGTGGCTATCAAGTTGGTTTTGGCAAACCCCAGCCACCCACTGATCTTCTGGTTTTCTCCTCTAGGGCCTGTAAATCAGCTCCTTTGCTGTTGTGTTATGAACCATTGCTCCAGTTGTACATCTGTGTGCCCTCAGAGAACCCCTCTCAGTGACAACCCAGCGTTTGCCATCTCTCACTCTCTCTGGTTTCCACTCTACCCACAATACCACTACCGTGTTGGCATTCACGTCTCCATTTGGGGTAGATCTTGCTGAGCCTGCGGGCATGGATCTCTTCCCCTCGGAGCAGGCAGGAAGCCAGCCCTGCTCCAGCGCAAGCAGGGCTCAACATGCAAGAGAGAGAGCAGCGGGATAGGGCAGCACTCACTGGCAACACAGAAACAGGAAAATAAACAACTTCCCCACCGCCAGGGAAACGGGTGTAAGCGCCAGCGCTGGGACCTGCTGCCTCCTCCCCACTCCAAGAGAGCAGCTGTCTCTCCATCCTCAATCTTCCCAACTTCCCCTACCCCAGCGAGCCCCATGGTCGGTCCAGAGGAAGCCAGGGACCGGCGTGGCTGCCGAGGCGAGAAGGAGGCCCAGGAGCGGCCGAGGGCCCTTCTGCAAGGATGGGCAGCCCTGGCAAAGGGAACTTTAAACCTCTGGACCGCTCAGTTCCCTTTCCCTGGGAACCCTTCTCCCGCTGGCGCAGGCAGCCCTGCCCGCTGCCGCTCGGGCGCATCCCCCCGGCACCTCCAGATACCCCCACCCCGGCCCGGCCGCTTACCTTCATCCCAGCCCCAGCCCAGCCGTCGCGCCCCGGCCGCGGTACCGGGAAAGTCCCGTCCTGACTCCGCCTCCCGGGGCTTCCCGGTCCCGGCTCCGCCCGGCGGGACAGCGGCACGGCGGGGCGGGGGGCCCCCGAGRGGACAGGCAGCTCCAGGCTGCTGCATCCCGTCAAACCGCCCGTCCCTCCCGGGTCAGGGCACCGAGCCCCGGGATCACGGCTGTCCCCTGAGACCCGCAGGGCCACTCACCCTGTTCCCAAAGCCAGCTGCTACCGCGGCGGGGAAGGACCATCTGCCTCGCCCATGGCTGATTTTCACTTTTATTATTGTAAATTCACTGTTGTCTTTATATATTCTTTTTAAAAAATATATTAGATATAAAAGTCAGAAATGCTCCTCTTTGAACTACATATACTGGTGGATTTACAGGCCGGTTTGGAAAGGTGGGCAAATAGGCAAGCCCAACCTGATCAATGCGCACAGCAGCAGCAGCAAATGCCCCTCTCCAGGGACAAGGGAAAATTTATATATATATATATATGGGGATATATATATATATATACACATGTTTTTAGATCTATACACACACACCACACACACACACAGAGCACTCATACCCCTCAACACCCCACCCCCCTGCCCAGGACACCCCGGGCTG